TCTTCAGTACATAACTTTTACTGGCATATCATACAACTTGGCAATATTCTTACAGGTAAAAGCAGTAAACACTGAAGACCTCTAAAATGCAGTTTCTTTTTGCAATGAACAAGAAGTATATGATTTCTCATCATGATAATGATGAGATTTCATCTAAAAGTAACAATCACAATTCAAGCATTTTATCCAACTTCAAAAAAGGGGTTTCAACAACTTTGAAACATATCACAAAACTACTTACAGTGACTTCTACAATCTGCTTCAGAAGTACTGGAAGAAACAAGTATGACTCTTTACGAAACAGATGATAATTCAAGAAAATCTAATTTTAAAAGAATGAAAACATAGCAACTGACATAAATGAATAACCAATGTTAAATGTTATCATTTTGAACAGAATGTTTCTTGTGAAATACAGCATGAGTGTAAACCATTAATTCTGCCTTCATTCCAGCTAGTTTGGAAAAGAATTGCATATTGCTCTAAAAAATATGATCCCTGTCATAACAGATGCTAAATAACAATATCATTCTACATTTACATAAGATCTTCCTGCCAGGGATGAAGATGATCTCAAAGCTATTTCTAAGTATTATCTAAACTAAGCCTGATCACAGCCCTGCAAGGGCAGTTGTAGGGTTATTGTATTCTCTGTATTCATGAACAGACAAGAACAAGCAGGTTTATGTCCCAAGAGATCAACGTGAGTTAGTGAGTTGCCAGGAATACCACTCTAGAGCCCTAACTCTTATTTTTGCTCTCACAGCTGGATAATTAAACTATTATATTGTGGTGAATTCATCCAATTGCAGAAATACAAGAATTATGAACCAGCACAGATGTTCAGAAAGTTACAGAAAGGCTTTCATTAATAACAATTAATAATGTAGATGATGAGTAGAGAGGAAATTAATGTAGACCTGACCTCCTTTCCCACTTCATGTCCCTTCTACTGTGATAAGCATAGTTTGCCACTGACAATTACAAACTAGCTCTGAAGAGATGGTCTCTCCAATGCTTAGGAATATATGATTTTTAATACTAGGATTCATTCAATTTCTTGATGTTGGCAGCTAAATAATTTTGTTATGATCCTTTTCTATCAGAGTTCAAAACATTAAACAAAGCAGATAAGTACCCTCAATTTCATGCTACACTTGGGGACAATGAGCCAATGAAGCAAAATGACTTGATCACTCCCAGCCACTGCTGGGAATGAACCAAAGGAAACTTAAGATGAAGACAAAAATGTGAATAAACTTTACTCATCCATGTCCCTTGTGGCACAAATGGCCTTCTCTAACCAAGATAATTCTATGATTCTATGTGGGTAAAAAAAAAAAATAAAAATGAATAAAGGAAAAATAAATAAAATTTAAATGAGAAAAGAGCCATGTTGGTAAGCTCTGCATTCAGAGGAAGAGCATTCACTGCAATTAACAGCAACCAGGGCTAGTGTTGGACTTGATGCACACACCCTTAGCACAGGGAGCAGGCGTGAGAGGTGAAATGAGAAGAAAGGATCTTATATCACCTACTAATTACAACCTAAAAGAGCTTTGAATATAATAGGCTATTAGCCTCATTCCAGCTTTCACAGGCTGTACCTGCACATGTTATACCAATTTTTCTAGATAGTTCCACAACCCTCCACCCCTCTCCATGTTATGTTTGTGTTTCACTCATTCATTCTTTCAAATTTCATTCAATTTAAAACAATAGCATGGCATCAGCTATTAAATTTCCTTACTTTTTGTCTTTTCAGATAATTCTGTTCTATTTTATACTTTTTACAATTCCTTTATGTCTGTATCTGCAAGGCTTTTGGTATTTTTGTTTCCTTTTGTATTTATTTTTTTAAACATACAGATGCTCAGGTTGCTATTTTAGAAAGTGTTTATATGCACTAGGAACATAAATCACACAGCAATCATCAAGTACTAGGTATTTAAGCTTTTTTTTTTTTTTTTTTTTTTCTGACAATCTTACCCCTTCAACCTTCAAACACCCTGATTGGTCATCACACCAGTCTCTTTTTTTAAGTATGAATACATCATATTTTCTTAAATTCCACATGCACACAGTGAATAGAAGGCAATCACCTCAGCCTTTTTAAAACAAGTTGGTAGACCTTAAGTGACTTTCTCTGTTCTTTTATGTTTAAACCAAATAAATAAGAGCATTTTCTGATGTTTCCCTTTCATTAAAGTCTGTCCAAACAAAGGAAAAGAGAGCACATACAACAACAACAGCAAAATACATGAAAGCCACTATAAGGTTTTGCCACAAAAATATGATGTTGCAGTTGTGGAAGAAAGGAGAACGTGTACCAAGAGAGGAAATACAGATATTTACTTGCATGCATAACTCAGTCACACTCAGGGGAAATTAAAAACAATTGTGGCTGCAGAAAGACCAGATCTGAGGGCAACTGCGAAGAGTCAAGATGCCTCTGCAAAAAGGCCCTACAAAAGACCTTCTAATTAACGTTGAGTCTTAGGGTACATTACACCTTTTGACTGGATTCTCTTTAAGCCTCAACACTCATTGTTACATTCCTTTGCACTACCCTGTCACAGATTGTAAGTGCAAAGGCTTTTTGTAGGTTCAGGGCAGGAATGAACAGATACAGATGTTCTTCACACAGAGGAAATGAAAACCACGCAGAAAAGTACCTCCATTTTGCACCAAAACAGTGTCCCTCCACAGCTAATCTGAGGAAAGGCTGATATGGAAACAACTGGTAATAAATCAGAATTGATCTCTCACTCCAGTAACATAAAGACAAACATGACTTTTAGAGCTTTTAAAAGTACTTCTGAGCTGTAACATATTTTTGCTGCAATAATAAAAAGTCAGGCTGTCAAAATAATTGAATACCAGTAGTTCCATGGTAGTTTTGCTCTGAGAAATATTGTCATTTCTAAGTTCTTCTATGGACTGCTGGGCTCTTGCATATTGCAGACTTTTTGCTCTCCCTCTGTTAGGCTAAGAGGATCATTTTCAGAACTTCATTTTAACTCAGAGTAGTATTACACAGCCAGTAGCTTTTTATCCATTTAGAATTATGCTACTTTTCATTTTTGGAACTGTGTAATATTCTGCATTTAACATCCAAAGAAAGAGTTAAGCCTTCCTACATTAACCACCTAATCCCAAATTAGCAAATTAGGGATCAAAAGTGATCTGTACTATACCAATTTGGTCATTTTAGCCATCTTCCAATTTAGTCATTTTTCCCATTTCTTTGCCTTGTGGTGTCTTTTGCGTGATATGGTAGCTATCTCCACACATGTGGATTACACCCCAATTTGGTCAGTGTGCTGAACATATTGAAGTGAAAGCTTTTGCATATATATGAAATGTACATTTTAAAAGAAAAAAAAAAGTAGTAATGTATACTAACAATCATAATTTCCATGTAAGGTCTCAAACATGTTCTGAGTGATAATTATGCCGATTTTACTGAAAGGAAAATCAAGGCACAAAGCAGTTATATGATTTATTCAAAGTCACTTGGGAAATGTGTGTCAAAATGGAACTGAACTTGAGTTGCCTGATGGCACCCAAGATATCTGCTGGCAATAACACAGCACTGACAGGAGACTCATGCTTTTCTGTAGTGGCAGGTGGAAACACAGCAGGATACTCCTAAGCATCTAACATGGCACTGGATACTTCCGTTTTGCATACTTGTACATAAACCTAAGTATGTACTTCTATTTATAAACCAAAATTGCTTTCTAGGCCTTCCATGCCAACTCTGATTTATTACATAGGAAACACTATTTCCAATATGATCTTAATTTTTCATCACTCGGCTAGTATTCAGAACTTAAGAGTTCCTCACTTGCAGTACAAAACTTCTAGAAATCAAGTAAAGTGGACTGAGAAACAACCTTTTCTGGTCATGTCAATATACGAGGGTGCCTAACAAATATGAAGTCTTCAGAGACATTTTCTGGCAACAGAGGTTTTTCAATTATATCTCCTGGAGTTCTATGCATTGCAAATGCTTCTCTTCCTTCTTTTGAATTTCTAACAGCACAAGCTTTTGGCTCCATTTCCAGAGTAGTCGTGCCAAATTACACTCTGAGAGAACCTCAGGTTAAGCTATTCAAGATGATAATGTAAACACAAGATCTTAACTCGTTTTTCCATTTAGGCTGGTATAATTCAGGTAAATCTAAATGAAACACATGAAACAGTGGCCAAACAAATTACAGAAAATAGCATAACAGTTAATTTTGCATGGAATTTGGCTTACTCAGCTCTGCTTAATATGGGAACCACTGACCCTATAGTATTAGTATCAGTATTTCAAACAGATGACCAGTATAGGGACATATTTTAGATTGGGTTCCAATCAAAACCTCACTGTTCAAGTCACAGTTTCACCTATTTTTGAAACATCCCCTCTGCAGGAACATGTTCTTGGTAGCCTTCTCCGCCCATGACAGTTCATGTCAGTGGCCTCATGGAACCACCCTACTCCCAGTCTGTCCTTGCTCCACCAGTCACAGCTGACAGGTAATACTTTACTTTGTACAATATAGCATCAGCCATTTCTCAAATTATCTTCTCTAGAGCTTTCTAATTTATTTATTTCAGATTCTTACAGCAGTTACACCTTACACCTTTTTCTATTTGGGTAACTTATAATCTCAGTTAGCTTTCTTAGTAAGACAAATGTCAAATAATTTTAGAAATAAAATACATGAGTAGAATTGTGCAGCCTTCACTATCATGTTCATAAGCACTGTCATGTCACCATATCATTACTGTACATTGGAAAACAAGTTGAAGGACTCCTCCACACCAGTATAAAATTAGCTTTCAACATTTAAGTATATGAGAAATTAGAAAATATTTCTTTTATAGTAAATATCTTCTGTAGCATAGCTCCTATTTATTCTTAGAAAATAACATTTTCTCCTGTGAAACAGAATGTATATTATTTAGAGAAAAACAAAAGAGAGAAATAAGCAGCATATCCTTACCCTCCGGACATCTTTGCCAAATGTTTCACTGTAGCTAGTGCCCAGTATTTCAAATTGAACATAGGGGTTGGCGCCATCTTCTCTAAACTCCATAACACCAGTAAGCCCGGTTATATGGCCCTAGGGAAACAATTTGCAAAAACTTTAGAATAGAACAAATTTGCCTTTATAAACACTCCTTTCTACTAAAGATATGCCAAATCTGCTTTGAAAAATTTTACAGTGAAATCTAAATGTAGCAATTACATGTTCTTCCATAGTTCCAACAGTGCCAGACAAACTTACACGTATTTTCTGAGGAAATATCTCTTCACTAACATATCCACTGTACATCTTGTCAAAAAGTCGTCAGGTCTTTTTCTCCAATAGTGACAGACACCAAAGAAAAGGAGGACCTTGGTGGAACATGAAACAATGGCCTTTCAGTGTAACTGATGGCGGTGGGTTGAGTCTGGTGTTGAATTTAAAGGCATGAAAATGCAAGCCCAGCAGAAAGAGTAATGCCTTCTGTGCTTCCAAAAGAGGCATGAGGAAAAGGTCAAATTTTAAGTACTATTTTGAGTACTCTCTGTAAAAGTATCACGAAGGGCTTTTGGGGGTTTGTAGCAGTAAAGCTTGAAATGACACTAAACTTTGAGTTAATTTATCAACAAAAGATGGTGTCATTAAGATTGGTCAGAGCATAACACAACACTTTAATGAAATTGCATCATTTTGTTAGAGCAAAAATATTTCATCGATATATATGAGTAAACAGGTTGTTTCTTTTCACAAATAATTGCTAAAGTTATCATAGGATAAAATTAGTACTTTTTTCCACTAGTATTTGTGATCAAATATCTTCTGTATAAGAGGCTACCATGCATATATAAAGCCATAGTACTGTCCGTATCTGAGTAATTCAACATGCTGCAAGACAGCGTAATTGCTAGTGACAACTTAGCTAAATCACATTGCATTTGCTCTGGGCTACAGCGCATAAATGGATAGTTACCAATGCTCAACTAACTTACGAAGCTAGTTGAGCTGCAGTAAATTGAACCTAAATCTTAAACCTTATCATTGGCTGGCCCCTCAAGCTCCTTAAGTTCTTTTGAGGAAATTATTCCGACAAATGCACACATCCATCTGTATGACTGCTTCTAATCACATTACCTCCACAGAAGGTAGCTATGATAGCAACAGAAGTAAAACACATATCACTGGAACAACACTGCAGTGTGTGTAATTTGTTTGTAATAAATCATTGGCTTGTTTAATAACAGTAGATCATTTCTAGTAGTTGTAAATCACTTGCTTCTAATAAATCAAAGAGAAGTTAAATAGAGGTCAAAAACCTCTTAAACAGTTAATCTCAAGAAGAACTGGAACAATTCTTTCAATTGCTCAAACAACTGTGGTTTGTCTATTCTCACCTTCTTAATAGTCTCTAGCATGGATCGTCCTCCATTCCAAGGTTTGGTGGATTTCCTCATGCAATTCAAACTTGCCATGCTGTGCCATTTCCTGTCCTCCAGTTTTCTGTGGAAAGCATTGGCTAGCATGAGCACACTGTCATACAGGTACAGGTTGGAAACCTGCAAACAATAATAAGAATGAGCCTCTCTGTTTATTTAAGCATTGTTTAAAAGAAACTGTAAAAACAAGCAAACAAACAAAAATAAAAGCAAAAAGACAAAAATTACTATCTAGGCATGTTTGAGATCTTCAACAGTTAAGACAATTCAGATAAACACCAGTGCTTACTCCCACCTTCTCTTTTCAGCTTGGCTCTTCTGGCCAAGGGACTCTGGTGTACTTGCTTTACCTGTGCATTACCTACCCTACTGCAATGCAGTGCTGTAAAGATGTAAAAGATTGAAGCTCAAACATAAACTGAAGCTCTAGAAGAAGTACAGCTATCTATCAATAAAAGACAAAGATTACTACTTTGTCAGTCATTTCAGCAAGGAGAAAATTATGGAACTGAATTAAGCTCTTAGTCTTTTTCTCATTTGTGCAATCTTGGTAATTTCTGGCACAGCAAAATATAATACTAATGCATCAGTTTTGTACGGAGGGAAGAGAAAGAGCAGCATTATTTTGGTATCATCATCTCTCCACCAAATCTAAAGGAGACTGGTCACTGTTCTACTTTCTCAGGAAGGATTTATTTCAGCCTCCCTATTCTCCTTATGTGAGAGATAACAGCAGCAATAATTGACAACAAAGTTTCTAGTAAGAACAACGTACTAGTAACATCCAAGCATTCCTTTTCCAGAATTTTCCAAACCAAGAAACAGCCATGGATACAAAATCAGATCTTTGACACGTGGCAGTATCCACTGTAGGTGGTAAAAATTTAGCAGTGGAAGTTGTCAAGGAGATGGTGTTTGAAAAAAAAAAAAAAATAAATGAATAGGTGCTCTCCACCTGTTTGCAGCATTTACAGACACTCTTCAAACCAATGCACAGATTCAGGGGTCTCGATTTACTCTTTACTAAACTCAAACTACCAGGTAGCATTATGTGCCAGACATGTTTTTTGTTCTTTGTTTTTTTTTGATATGCATCTAGCTTTAGCCCTGGCGATCCATGAATTTGCCACTAAGCATTTGGATTTCTCTAATTCACCACAGATGATGGTGCCTGTTGAACTTAATGCAGATGGATACTTCCTATAAAACATCACTCAGCTGTAAAGCTTAAACACATAATACTGTTGCATCAGTATCTAAAAGTAAACTTCTGATACTGTGTTAAGATCATAATGTTAAGACATAAAATGTTCCATGTAATCTGGAGATCAACATAAATTGAGAACTTTGGGAAGTTTTCTGGCATAAATTAATCTGACCTAAATATCTTAACAAATTTGTAAACAAAAATTCATTTTGGAACAATTGCAACAGGAAGAAAATACACACAAAAATATTGAGGATACCCACGTATTTAAGTGACTATACACAAACAGGGATCTTAATGCAAAACCCATGAAATACTATCACTGAGAATCTCACCCGCTTGGTATAGCTACTTTTAATGTCATCATCTTGCCTTCCTTTTCTCTCTAGCCTTAATGGGAAAAAAAAAAAAGGAAAAAAAAAAAAAAAAAGCCCACATTCCTTATATTCACCACTTGCTCTTGTTAGTCCTTTTCCTTTTCAAAGAGTTTCCAAAGCAGCTAATTTCCAGATCTCCTCTTTTTAAGAAAAGTATGTACTTAAAGAGTTAATATGAGCTCCAGCAAGTAAGCTGCTAGTTTTGTTAAGTCTCTTTTGCTCTACTGCATTTGTCTCCCTACTCCACAGATATTTTCCAAACAACTTTCAAATAAAGCAACCAAGCACATCCTTATTATTCAATAGGGCACTTTTCCTCTTCTAGTCTCCATTAAACAATCAAAAACAACAACAATAACAAAAAAAAAACTTGCTTAGAAGTACATTTTACATATAAGGAAAAATGAGGTTTCTTACATGCTATTAGAAACAGGATCCTCTTCACTCCCACTGAATTTGATTAAACCCACCCTTTTAACTGACAACTTATTGTCAATTTGCTGTGGAACAGCCACAAAGCAGAAATGCTTTGTATTTTCACAGTTTGACACTGTCCTTTTCCAGCTCTGGGAAAATGGAGCCTCATTCCTGAAAACAGTTTGCTAGTAGAGAGTTTTAAGGTAAAATACAAGATGAACTTGGGTGCAGTGCTTTCCTTTTCTTATCTACTTTTTATGATACAATTATCCATGTATAATGTACTAAAAGCTTGAGAGATATTTTTGACATATTTTTGACTATTTTAGCGACCTTGCATGCAACTCAAATACTCCATGCTGTATAGCAAAACAAAACAATCACTTCACACAGAATCACACACAGAATTATAGGGGTTGGAAGGGACCTCAAGAGCTCATTGGGTCCAAGCCCCATCAGCCCTGAGATACTATACCACCTACCACAAGCAACACCACACTTGTGTGATCCCTATTGGTCTCTTGGTGGGGACTTTTGGGGTGAGTTTCCTGCTTTTGAGGAGGGGAACAAGGATGACATGGGTGCCAACCTACTTGTTTACCAACCTAGCCCGTATATTTTAGTTAGTCCCATAATGGATTTTGTTTCACTACTGTTTTCTTTTCTTCATCTGAACGAATGATATATAAGTGACAGCACGAAAGGGTCTGCACAAGAGGAGTTTCACACTACCTCCTTCCTTCTGTCATGAATCTATGCAGCAAGGAAGAAATAAATTTTGCAGGGGACACAGCAAGTTACTATTTTTTGTCATGGAAAGACTACTCTGCGCATCATGCTGTGCACACTGATCCACTGGTATTTTGCCACTCCAGTTCCACTGCAAAAATTAGTATACGGTACTATTTAGTATCAACAAAGTACTTTTTCTCATATAATCATACTCTAAGTATTAGTCAATACTGACATGCATGCATTTGTAAGTTTTAATTTTTATTTTACCCATTGCTCACTGATGGGTCAATGTCCAATGGAAAAGTTGAATTTTATTCACATAATTAAGAATTCTTTTTAGAATACAAACAGAATTATGGTTCCAGTTCTAATCTGATGCCTGAGTAGTTTTGTAAGAGCACAGCTGAACAGGAGCATCCTTCAAATCTACTTTCTGCCTGAATTCATTACTATGTATATATTTTTGTGTAGAAAAATGTTACTGAATTCAAGACACAGATTCTGGCCTGATCTCACATTAAATCCAGTGCTACAATAATTTCCTTTATTTTCTATGATATTCTATTTAATACAGCAACAATTCCACAGGCTTTCACTGCTTCTTCAAAGCAAGGTAGTCATAATAACCTTGCTCACAACATGCTCCTACTAAGTTGAACACTTAAATCTCTTTCAATAGCACCATCAGTCACTGTATTTTAGAACAGACTAGACTAAAATAGTTCAGTTGGAAGGGATTGTCAAAGATTACCAAGTCCAACTGCCTGACCACTTGGAGGCTCACCAAAAGTTACAGCATGTTACTGAGGCATTGTCCAAATACCTGTTAACATTTACAGGAACAGGGCACCATCCATCTTGCTGGGAAGCCTGTACCACTGTTTAACCACCTTCGTGGTAAAGAAATTTTTCCTAATGTTCAGTCTGAGCCTCCCTTGCTTCAGGTTTGCCATCGGTGACCAGGGAGTAGAGACCAGCACCTCCCTCTGTGCTTCCCTTCCTCAGGGAGTTGCAGAGAGCAGTGAGGTTGCCTCCCAGCCTTCTCTTCTCCAGACTAGAAGACTACTGTAGAAGAAAAATGTTTTCCACAAAGTCTCTCCACAATATCACAAGTTTGCTACAATTTCCTGAATACTCATTTTGCAAAATGAAAAAGGGTTGATTGGACAAAGCCTGTATGCACTTGTTACTGCCAGTGCACACATATTTCAATTTCCGGCTTTCAAACCCTACCTGCATATAAAAATGACCCATGAAGGAATTTGTGAAACAACCAAGGGATCAGCTATGCCCTGTTTCCACCAGTGCTGTCTGTGACATAAGAAAACAGTAAATTTGAAAATCAGTCTTCAAGCAGCTATTCAGAATTGATAGCAAAGCAAGGGAGAAGAAAAAATAAGTCCATGGATTTGACTCCTTTGGGTTTTCCAAGCTCTGTAGCGTTTCTTATTTCCCTTACTTACATATTCTCAGGGGGAGCAGAGGAGGAACAGACATGTATCTGCCTGCAGGGATGCCCCTTGATATAACAAAAATTCCTAGAGTAGAACAAAGTGTTTCATTTCTGTCCTGTTTGGAGAAAGAAACTATAATTTTCAGTTCCTCCTTCACTTGATTGCTGAGAGTTGTAAGAGCTAGAAGTAATATTACTAAATGCTTTCTGACCTATCTGCTATAAGAATGATGTTGACTGCTTTACAAACATATGAAAGAGTTTGCTCTGTACGTGAGTAACTTTAGGTATGTTCTGCTATATATTCTAGAAATTACTTCAGGAACATTTTGGATCCTATTGGGAACCTTTATTTCACGATGAAGAAAAGAGCTGCCATGAACTAGTCAAACAGAGCAGAAATTTTCAGTATGAGAATGGAAATCTTTCCCTATTTACATTACTAAATGTGATTTTAAAGAGGTTTCCATGTGAGTTCTGCAAGATTTTCCAGAGTGAATTTAAAGTTAAATATGAAGATTGCTTTTAGCTCCTTCAAAAGCCCTAATCACAGGCAAGTGCTCTTCGGGGAAGAACAGCAAGCCACAAAGACTGACCCCAACTTCTGAGTTACCAGCAGAGACAGAAGTCCAGCCAGACAAGACCACTGAAGAAATCAGCTGGGAAGACAAGCAGGCACCCAGATGTCACTGCTTCAAAAACTTACTCCCAAACTCTGCATCTGTATCCTGCTGCTGCCAAAATCACCCTGTGAGTGGCCACAGCAGTCAGTTCCAAGGATGAAGCAGATGGAAGATGAGCTCAGACTGAGCACAGCCTGCCAGCAGCAGAAATGCTCACCGCCTGGGGAGTGATATCATTGTGTTTGCGTATGCACACATCAGCACGCACTAAAACTGTGTTTCAGCTTTCAGAGTTCAAGTACTGACAA